ACATTTTTTACAAACAAATTATCAATATAAATTACATTTTAATGAATATGTAACTTTTAAAAATACTAAATGTTATGCGTGTAGTTTTATAATCTTAACCAATTATACATGCAATTTTAATACTCTCTTGTTTTTTATAAATGATATTTGATATGTTTAATATCAATAAAAATATAATTAAACCCTTAGTATGGTACTATCCTGCTTTTCAACAAAATATTGGTATTATATGTTCATATATCCGAATTATGTAGAGACTGTCCACAGTGACTCCCTGTCTATAATGACCTTTTTTCTTTTCTCCCATCGAAGGTCACTGTAAACAGTCTTTACTGTATATATGAATGTATTTTAAATTCGAGCATCCTCCATGCTTAAGATGAATTCAGGACCTACACGGTGTTTGTAAATGAATCAATGGATATCATTTAAAAGAAAACAAAGACAGGATATAAATGAACAAAGGACAGAAAATAAACACATGTTTAGTAGACTGATAAGACAAAATGGAGTGTATCTGACGCCATTGTAGCATAAGGTGAATTTCAAAACGAGTTGATTTCATAAAATACATACTTATTTAATTTGTTCTTCGCTTTTGTCACGTTCAAGTGTTTCATTTCAATCAAACCTTATTCTTAAATGACCTGATTTTTGACCTTATTGGCGATGAATAATTGTTTATTTTCTGAAGAATGTTATTAACTGAAAAAAGAACGATTATACATATTTGTGATGACCATACACCAGACGGGGAAGCACCATATTTTCCAATATAGATTCTTTATAAATATCGGTTGGGTGTAGAGCATCAAGCAATAAACATTAAAAATGATACTATGATATCTTAAACAATAGTTAATTTGGATTGCTATGAGAGCTTTGTAATGCATTTTCTTCAATATTATTTATTATTACCTTTAGTGAAATATGACCACCAATCAAAACCAATGATTTGTTTAAACCTCCATTTTGGGCCCGTTTGAAAATCATGCCCAAAAGAGAAATCGTATCCGGAAAAGGTAGTCCCAAAATCAATCGCGGCTACAATAAGTTTTTTGTCATTTTGTGTAACAGCCCCCTCTTAAATAATCCAAATTTTAAAATCACTGCATCTTTCGTTCTAGTTTCGTTTCAGAAAACGATAAATGTATACTGTGTTTACAGTAAATGCATATAATATACATTTACTTTCGGATTGATATCTGTACCTTGCATATAAACATTTACTTCCTGATCATTATACCTACTTATAAGATTATCCGTTACTGTATGTAGTATTTATGAAACAGAAAAGTAAACTGATCTCAAACACTTTTAATATAAACTAATCAGGAAGCAACATTTACGGAACGAATTAAAATATGTGTTTACCTGTGATTGATTTTACAAAATTAGTCAAGCCGAACTGTTCGACATTTTTTACAATTAATTATATAATTGTAAGATTGCCAGATAAATAATTTAAGTCGATTTCTTTTCTTTTTATTTTGTGGCTGGTGGCTCGAAGTAAAACTAATGCCTAGACCATGTACTCGTCAAAGACATTATAATATTTAACTCTTTTATTTTCTGTTATAGTTTTCATTCTATATACGTGACATCTTTTATTAAAAATTCTTTGTAACCCAGCTAGACTTGAGAGAGATTAAGATTCAATCTATTTCAAGCATTTTCATATGCTTGAACAACAACAACAACAACAACAACAAAAATAGAAAAAGAAAGACACGCACACGCACACGCACACGCACACACACACACACACACACACACACACACACAACACGGCGAGTTCGTAGTTTTTAAATAAAGTAAACGAATTCCGATGTTATCTTTAACTTGTGTTAAAAGATACACATACATTGCTAATCATATACTGATATATTTTATTTTAATTATAAACACATTATTACTGAGTTGTTTATTTCTTTTGTGTTAATATACTAGCAGATACAATAGTAAGTGATAATTTAAATACCCGATAAACAACCATTCTTTATTACATTTATGACTTAAAAAAACATAATGATTGATATACAGAACAGAACAGAACATTTCTTTTATTTCATAGACACAGATTACAAAACATACATTTTGTAATAACATGGGAACAAATAAACAATTAGTTTACAACATAATATATATGTTACAGCATTTTTAACTATAACTATACTGGATGGTGAGATATGGGGATGGTGATCATATCTTTATTCTATCATTATTAAAGAAATTTCAGAGCATAGGAACAAACATCAAATTTCATTAAGTATTTACAAATAATTATGATATCAAATGTTCAGTGATTCAGTATGCATTACTAATTGTTTAGTTTCATGTATGAAGCGAGAGAAAAAGAAATTTACAGTATTCATTCTTTGTTTATATATATGTACATGCATAATCATGTGACATTTACTTGTTCTTAACAAAAAAGTCAAGTAACACACAGAAAAAAGAAAATAGAAATTCCAAACTCATACATAATAAATAGTGAATAACATAAATTACAAGTACCATGTATAGAGAAATTTAAAGAATAAAAAGAAAAAAGAAAACAGTCAAATATATTGTAGCAGGAATGCCTATCCTTACATTTTACTGATAGAATCTCATTTTCAGAATAAAATATAAACAATGAATATTTTTCTTTAGCCTTATTTATTAATTGTCAATACATTTAGTATCTTTTCAAAATCATTCAGCTGGCACTACTTTTTCTACCTATAGTGACCCTAAGCATAACTTAATGCATTATTTCATGATATTCATGCTATTCATATCATATGAAGCCTTCAACTTCAAGGGACTGACTACATGTTTGAGAAATCTGTTGTACATGAGGAATTTCATTGGGTCTAGTGATGTTCTCCTTGTCTGGCGGTGTGGTAGATAAAATCCTAGACAAAGCATGCTGTTGCCTGTTGGAAAGTGTCCTGTAATTGGTTAGAGATTGTGGATTTTTTGTGTCCAGTGACATGTACAGCATGGGTATCTGGCACATTGCTGTCCAGAAGTGTCTGACACAAGTGTTTTCTGACACTTGTGTTTGAGAGGCGCTTGAATTGGGGATCAGGTAGGTTTGCGTTCTCTGCCATACTTTTTAGCAGTCTGTTTATTTTGTTAACTCCTATTGGTTGTGAAAAAAACCATCTTTCATTGTATGTAGGATTGTCATTATTTGTCATTTTAAATAGATAAAAAAGACTTTTATTGTTCTATGTAGTTGAAGGTCTTTTTTCACCATATTTTTTGTAGACTTCAATGGGACAGCGGCCAACAATATTTGTAGCATACATTCTTGGATGTGACTTTCGAATACTGTGAATGTCTTTACCAGTGCGAGTTTTCGTCTGTCTTTCATTAAATTGTAAATTCTCCTGTCAGTAAATTCCATAAAAGATTTTGTTAGCATATATAATATAAATCATTTTGTTATATGATAGTGAATTGCAAATATCTATCAAACATTTTCTATTTTATTATGATATATAAATATATTCCTACTCATAGCAAATATTTATTAATAATTATTATGATATGTATATATATGATATTCCGACAATAAATAAAATATTGACTTGCCCTACCAAGATCACTTTCAAAGCAAAAGGTAATATCAGCCCAACATAGCTGTCTGTGTTCACTGCCACCATCTCTCATTACATATTGTAGAATGTTGTTCAGCCATAGAGTGTTGATATGTGCAGCTAGGTAAGAAGTACCCAACTGTTCTGAGGTGTACAGAAGTTCTATTTCGTCATCATTTTGTGTCTGCTGCTTTTGGTTTATTGCAACGACCTTGATTTTATAAGTCCTTTTGTTTACCATTTAATACTTCACGAATCTTTCCACATTCATACCCATTAACTAAACTTATTACATAATTGTGTCTTTTCAGATATATTTCAAAACTGCTGATCATACTTCGTAGTGTGACTGATTCATAATCATCCCCATTCTTCTGGCACACACTGACAATAAACTGACATAGGTACAGATTGAGCTCATAAGCAGGGATTTCATGGATTTTGCGATTTTCATTTTCAACAACAAGGTACGATTCAAGGAGTCTTTGATGTAATATTGTTTTTCTTCTTGTCTGTGGATTTTCATTTTCTTTAATGTAGTTTTCAATTTCAAGAGGAGGTGCAACCCTGTTACATTCAAATGTTTTGGAAATATTTGGCAATTAGGATACTTTTTCACCAGTAGTAGGAGAAGTTGTTCTTGGAATCTGGTTAGGTTAAGCACTTTTATTTACTTTTTCAGGGAGAGGTGAAGAAATGACATGCAAAAGGTTGTAAAGTTCTGAGCTGTCAAGCGTGTCTAGGATTGAAGTTTCAAACAAACTATCAATATATGAAGATTCAGGCTTGATGTTTTGACTTGAATTGCCTGTTTTTGAATAATAAATTGACTGTGCATGTCAGAATTAAACATCACTAAATCATCAGGAAGACCTTTTACTAGTCCATGTTTTGCAAGTGTCAAAATTTTCCCATCATTGAATATTTGTACCTTATACAATAGCCATTAGGTACCCAAGGGGATGTATTATATCCAAACTATTTTCCCCCCTTTTCCCAAACATTTAAACCACCACTTTATGTGTTCACCAACACGAAAATTTTACTTAAATTCCATCTTTATTTGTTTGGCGTCCTTTCTATCCTGGCAAGGGAAGTAACTCCTATTTGTTTACATTATTAAGTTATACTGTATACCTCCCCTTGTGTTTGTGCGTAGGAATACGAAAAGAAGTTCTCACGTGGAGTGTGAGATCAGTCCATGTGCGATAAGATTTTCCACAAGCGCTATTTTAGTAACATTTACGGATTTCCATCTGGTTAGTGAGAATCTACATTTTTATTTCATGGAGCTCGGGCTTCAATATCATGTATAAGTGTTGATTTTCTCAAACGAGACAACGTACTTAATCACTAAATTTAACATGAAACTTCAGATGAACATATAAACAAGTACTTTGTTTGCATATGATGTTTATTAATGTATTTCAAACAAAAGTTTTGACATGCGAAAATTTTTAAAAACTATCGATTTTACCTTGGAATTGGAAAATGCAAAATGAAAGTTTAATATTAAACAATTTCTGGTTGTTTTGAAACCTTTTGAACATTAACGTTTTAATTTTTAAATAATTAAATAGATAATGAAAGCTTTTTTATATCAAGCTATTGTTCGTTGTTTGTTATTTAACGGCACAGTGACACATTTCTAGTAACACCTAACCGAAAACATTTTAATTATTAAATTTTAAGTCAACAAAAAGTTCAAGTTTTCAGTCAAAACAGTTTTGAAACAAAGGCAAATATACACAAATATTGATAACGTGTTAGCACTTCCGAAGCATATATCACAGCAAATTACCATGTCAAAAGTGGGAACTAATTCAGCAAAAATGACTTCTCTAAGAAATGCATTTCATATTTGGTGAACTTTTCCAGTTTAAAATAAACATTTGTGATAATTTTTTAAGCAATGAACCTAATCAAAAAAATTACCAAGAAATCCAAGGTAAAAAAGTGGGGAGATGGCCATAGCATACTAAACTTATACTAAAATGAATTTTAGTATGTTCTGCCCTCCTCAAATGGAAACACATTTTTGATTGTGAACATGTATTTAACGTTTTTATATGTATTTCTAAGAACATGGATCTAAACAATGAGGTATAGCGCTCCTCAAATGGAAACACATTTTAGATTGTGAACATGTATTTAAAGTTTTTAAATGTTTTTCTAAGAACATGGATCTTAACAATGAGGTATAACGCTAAGATTGAACCTGAAAATATTACATAAAAAAGTTACAGGATGGTTAGCCTTAAAGAAATGGCCTCTTTTGAAAACAATAAACATGTATGGCAAGTTTGAAGTGAATAACCTTTAAACGTTCTGAGAAAACGGACCTAAAATATAAGCCAACGCCGAAGAAAAGGTCATGACAATAGCTGATTTTTTTTCTCCGAAAAGAAACAAAAAGCATCGTCTCCTGTTAAAAGGCGAGAATGTGCACATCTGGTGTGTCAAATATTCAAATATAACATCTCAGACGAACTACCTGCTCATGACAATTTGAAGAGATATAGTGATTTTTCAAGACATCGGTTGAAATCATAAAAATTTGTTAAATGCGGCTTGCTCCTCGTTCGGTTTTCATCTTGCTGATATGTTTACTAATGTAAAGTTTAAAATCATTATATGATAACATCCAGTCTACTGATTACGCATTTACTAACTTTTTAGGAAGCACATCTGCTATGACTATAACCAAATTACTTGATGCATTTAAGGAAGGCAGGGAAACAAAAATCACCTTAAAGTGTGACGAAGCAAGACAGAAGACGAAAATTTAAACGATTTGGTTCGAAATGTTTTAAGAGTCGTATGAGTCGTCCAATTAAGATATTCAAGTGTTAACTGTTCTTTCTTTTTGAGGAATGGTGAATGACTTTTCGTACTCTTAGCATTATCAAAAGTGATTTGTTTTAAACGTGTACTGCAGTTCCTTGTAATACATAATCATTGGTTTTATATTTAAATCAAAACAATTGTGAATTAGAAAGTATATGTTGGCACATTTAGAAAAAAATAACATATGTTAAAATACGCATGCCTCCTCTGCAGAATCAATACGGACATTGCTTCAGTCTTGTTAAACAACCTCCTCATATTCGTTAGATGTTTGGGTATCAGCATAAACAGGATTAATGAACATATTCATATCTTCGGTTGAGTCGTTGCTAGGCAACGTGACAGTGTTTTCAAGGTAACCTAGTGGCACACTCCCACTAGTAGTTTCTTCCGGTATAGCATACATGTGATCTGGGGAATATATACAAACACATATTACAAACACAGCATTCCCTTATTATATTAAATAAAACACTATTAAGATGTTAAGAAGATCTTCATATTTTTACATGCGGTTGTAAAAATCCAATATTGGTCAACTGTTTTACCTCTTCTTCAAGTTATGTCGGTAAAATAAAAGTTAACGCACGTGACATAAAGTGTCTAATTATAAATCTGGAAGAAAAATAATAGTACATTGTATCCGGTTTCTTGTAACTCTAGCCTGATAAGCAATGATCATATGTAGCAGTGAAAATGATTTTCAAACATATATTTTTTGTATCGAACCTTAAATCTTATTAAGCTTAAACAACTCTGGTTTCTATTAAAATGTAAATTTCCTGACCTAGCATTTAATGAAATGACTAATTATTTTCTGAATGTTAACTTTAAATGAAAAATACATTTTTTCTTATATTCTGAAACAGGGTGAGTAATCATAAGAGTAAGAAGTGGTATGTATAAATTTATATAAAGACAAACTGATTCTGAACAATGGTTTACTCATTGAAACATTTTCGTTCAGTTTAGGACATGTACATTTTGTACTTGTTAAACAGATCTGTGGTTAACCTTTTAATCATTGAAATTGCAAAACTGAATACGGATCAATACATTTAATTTCAACAACAGCATGTCAAGTGCTCATGTAAAATGTCTTTACAAAAAGAAAACAACAAATAATTTAGATTTTCTTTTTAAAAAGCATTGAAAATGTTGGCATCTTAAATTATACAACATTTTGTAAATAATTATATGTTTTGTGTGAAGTTAATTCTTGTATTTTTTGTTTCTTACCTATTGTGGCTGATTTGTACCATTCGTGTTTTCGCCCCGCGACCTCGCCAAGCGAAAAGTCTAAAATTAACAAGTTAAAATGGCAGGGGCGCGCAGCGAAAACAAACTCAATAGCGCGGGCGCGGGGCGGAGTTTAATAAATAAAACGTCGCCCTGTGGTGTCGCGAGGCGAGCTTTAAGAAATTAATCGGCGGGCTAATTAGCGGTGTCCCGGGGCGATGTTAAATAAATAAAACTTCGCCACATGCCTTTGCTAATTAGCGTGTTTTCATCCCGTAACCCCGCCAAGCGAAAAGTTGATAATATACATGTTAAAATGGCGGGGGTGCGCAGCGAAAACACACTTATTAGGGAGCGCGGAGAGAGATTTAAGAAATAAAATGGCGGGTTCGCGGTACGAAAACACGTTAATTAGCAGGGGGAGTGTTATTTATTAAACTTTGCCCCGCGCCCTTGCTGATTTACGTGTTTTCGCAACGCGCTCCTGCTATTTCAACTTGTAAATTTTCGACTTTTCGCTTGGCGGGGATGCGGGGCGAAAACACGAATGGCACAAATCAGCCACCATAATTACCTGAGTCAGCTGTGTTTCTACATGCAGGTTCATACTCATTCTCAGCGTAATCTTCCGAGCCTTCATTTAAAACAGCTCCACGTCTTTGTGTAATACTGATAAAACAAATCGGAAAGAAAATAGTTATTAATACAAACTATTTATTAATGTTTACTATAATGAATACTTTATAAATAGTTTGATCGGGACATATAGCATTGTATATATAGCTTAGTATACTGACCACCGTTTGTGCTGGGCCTGGTTAATCTGTTTTGATTTTTATAACTAATAATATTTACAGGTAAATGGAAGTAAAAAGGATTTTGATTTCAACTTTCAACCGGTAACGACAATACGGTGTATTTTTAATTTAAAGTCCAAAATATTTTTTCGGTTATGAAGACAATTACACAGGCGGCAGTATCAGTGTTTGGACACCCCACCCCTATCTGCCCCTGGACCCCTACTACAACCCTGAAAAAAAATTCAACACTCTAAGGCTTACTATAAGGTACCAAATACAAAACCACCGATGAAATTATATATAAAAAAAAATTTCCACTATCAAAATTATAGTTATAGAAAGGTGTAAAGCCTACTATATGTCCATTTGCCAAACAATGTGGAACACGGGAAATCGTCGTTTCGGCGACTGAGGCGCATTCCGGCGGAATTTCGCTGCATCATTCATTTACATCAATAAAAAGAACTTGAATTCCACAGCTTACTTAATTCAAGTCCAATGAATATCAATATTCTATCGATTTTTTCTATTTCACGGTATTTTTTGACTTGTCGTTGCCATTTTGGATTCTGATACCTGTGTGTTATACGCGATCTGATTGGACGTCCAATTTGGCTCGTCCAATCAGATCGCGTATTTCAACCCAGGTATCAGACTGCAAAATGGCTACGACAATTAAAAAAATACCGTGAAACAGAAAAAATCGGAATGATAGTGATATTCGTTGGACTTGAATTACATAAACTGAGGAATTCTAGTTCTTTTTATTAATGTTAATGAATGATGCAGCGAAATCCCGCCGGAATGCGCCTCAGTCGCCGAAACGACGATTTCCCGTGTTCCACATTGTTTGGCAAATGGACATATAGTAGGCTTTACACTTTTCTATAACTATAATTTTGATAGTGGAAAAAAAAATTTATATATAATTTCATCGGTGGTTTTGTATTTGGTACCTTATAGTAAGCCTTAGAGTGTTGAATTTTTTTTTCAGGGTTGTAGTAGGGGTCCAGGGGCAGATAGGGGTGGGGTGTCCAAACACTGATACTACCGCCTGTGGACAATTATAGATAAAAAAATTGACACATCTTAAGTAGCATGCACATATTTGCTGTTTTGATAGAAATGTACATACTTCATACATTTCACACATAAATGTATGTACTGAACGTGCAGTTTTATAATAATGGCAAACCATTTCACAAGTTGGGTATGATATCTTGCTAACGCTAGTATTTAACGACAAATACATGTACCTTTTTACAGTTGATATAACTGTTATGATAATTGCAATGACCAGACAAACAAATAATACAATCAAAAGAGCTGAACTAAATCGCTGATTTAAGCTTGAAGACATAACGTCCACTGTATCTGTTAAATAAACAAGATCAGTGCGTAAATATATATAAACTTGTACTATCTTATTGAATATTATAAAGCCATAAATGTTCTATGAAATTAAATAATGCAACTAGATATCTCAAAAGGAAACAATACAACAGCATTTAACGATTATATTGATGTATATATGTATTTCTAAATTAAAGTACTTTATCAAATTATTTAGTTTGTTTAGCGGAATTTATATTATTCAATGCACTCAATTTGTTAGAATATTAAACATAAATGGAAGAATTTAATCTTGCCAATATAGCATGAGCCTGTTTCTCTATTACATGTAAAGTTTTTGCATTCACTGCTGCACTGTTTGTTGCAATGGTCCCCGTAGTATCCTAGTTTGCATCCCAAAGTACATCTACTCGTTATCGAATCGCATTGTCGATCAATACATGTACTGCTACAGGCCTTGTCGAACGAGTGATCATATTCATGGTAACTTTCATTGGAACCGTGACTACAAGCTCCAGTTTCGATATTGCATGTGCGGTTTGAGCAAAGCTTGGAACATTGCTCATTACAAAACTTTCCCCAATATCCTTGTTTGCATCCAAAGATACAAACACCACTCTCGGAATTACATGAGCTATTTTGACAACGGATAGAACAGTCCAGGCATTTCCCATCTGAGAGATAGCTTCCATCCTTACATTTCGTGCAGTTAGTTTTCGATAAACACGAGAGACATTTATCAGGGCAATCGTTTTCACAGTTCTTTCCCCATTTGCCGTCCACACACTCCAAGCAAGGCCGTTTAAAAAACGGTTTACATTGAAAGCAATTTCCAGTAAGTCTGCTACATTTATTGTCAAGACATCCATACGAACAGTTACATATTATCCCGAAGTAACCAGCATTGCACAAGCTACAACCTCCATCTGATTCACAAGTTAAACATTCTTTTTGACAGTCAATGTGGCAGTTTTGTCCATATTTAAAAGGCTTACAAAGACTGCAATTTTTTCCGGCATAATTGTCGTTGCAAACACAATTACCGGTGTTTTGTTCACACACGTTTTCTTTACATCCCGAAGAACACCTTTTATCGCATATTTTTCCGAAAAATCCTTGTTTACATTTTGTACATTCATTCATTATCAAACAAGAAGCGCAATTATTTGGGCACGGGGCACACGAATTACTGGATTCAAAATAACCTTCTGGACATTTTTGGCAAGAAGTACCGTTTAATTTAAATCCATCATTACATGTAATGCAATTATGTTCGGATGTACACGTTTTACATGGCGACGTACATTTAGTGCATTCATAATCGTTTCTGAAATACCCAGTATTGCATTGTAAACATGTTTTTAACGATGAACACTGTGTACAACCGGTGGAGCATGCTCGACATGAGAATGAGTCTTTATAATATCCAACATCACATTTTTCACATTTGTTTACTGAGGAACAAGACTGACAATTTTCAGGGCAACTCTTACATGTCCCATTCTGCATCATGTAGTATCCCATTTCACAATCATAACAATATCCATACGCTTTACATTTGCAACCTTTTGGACAGATCAATTGCCCTGAAACCAAAATATAACCTTTATCCAATATTTAAGTACTTTTTAAAATGCATCAAAAGTTAATACTTTTGAAATCGTTTACATTTTTTTTAAATGGTAAAATGGTTTAGGCTCTTACAGTTCCATTTTTCACAATATAATAAAAATAGAATCCTTTAAACAGAGTTTAAATAGTAAGATTAGAGGAGGATTAGGAACCGTTTTGATTCGGATAGAATAGATTTTAAATAAACCTATGCAGTTTTAATCTTAACTTTGATGTTATTTGTATTAAAACAAACAAAATGACCGTTAATGCTATTCTTTTCAAAATAAAAAAAATGCATTCCGTATAAATCATCTTGAACAGCTTTTTAGTTTTAACTATTTTGAACATCTGATTAAATGGTTTTTCGATTTACTAAAAAGGAAATCGGTAAATATTGCTTAAAAAGTATGAAATGTGACTTACCAAAAATTACTGAATTTAGCAGTAAAGCAGTACATATCAATTGTAACATCTGTAAAATAAAGCGTTTTATAAATGTGAATACTACAAACAAAACAGTCTTACTAATGCCAACAATTTTAAAACAGCAAAGTAAAAAAGAAGCGGATATAACAATGTCAATAGACATATTCACCATGTCTTTTGTGTTAATGTTGGAAATAAATGTTAACATGGTGTTTTAGAGTTTGAACTTGACATTTGAATCAATGTTAATTCGTTTTACTTTCTCTGCATATGCGGTTATCTTACAAGAACACCTTAACTCTCGAAAGCGGCTTTTTATGTATATCCAACGTCTCGGACTGGATTCGAATTTATGGTATTCTAAAGGCTAAATATGCAATTCGCATAGTTGACGACGTGCTGTGTCTATAGAATATTAAAATAGTTTAGAGGTTTTATCATAAAATAATGTTGATGTAAGTGAAATTACTCACCTGCCCACTTATCATTCATGAGTGTATTTTTTCTAAAAACAACATTTTATTTCATAAGTAAATTAGCATGAAATAGTGTATTGTTTTTCCCCCATTGATCTTTAATCACTTACGGTAATGGCTTTAACCTTGCAAGGTGTACAGACTATTTCAAGTGAGTAAACTATGCTGAGTTAAACAATAAACTCGCATCTGTCTGATTAAATTTGCAATAATTAGTAAAAATATGAATACAAAGATATACACTTTAGAACGTAAGTGAGCATAGTCCAAGTGACTCAAAATCCAGCAAAAATATATGATAAAAATGTACTCCAAAATACATTTTATTTCTAAATAATCATGCCATGGATCAAATCAGTTTAGTAATAATCGATGACTTTATCTTACAGTATTCAATGTACATGTTTGCCTACAGGAAGAAAAATATATCAGAACAATTGTGGAAAACATATACCGGTAAATAATGATGATAATGTAAATCTACTTTTCATTTGAGAAGTATAAAATAGAATTAACGAATATAGATGTCAGTCAGCGGTAAATCTTACTTTTAGAAATCGGAGCCATATTTAATGTACAAGCAAAACCATCATAGTGAAAAATGAAGGCTAAAGTGGACAATGTTGAGTGCTAATAAATATTAATGTCTTTTAATTCACAAATAAAGAACATTTTAGTTGATTTAGGAGCACCTTAAGGACTTTCTGGCGATTATAATATTATATATTTGACATTTCAATACACAGTTTGCTGATAGCATTTAAAAATCAATGTATTGTATTACGTTATATATATGAAAATGTATAAAATATCTATGCATATTAAATATACTTAAATCTACAGAACAGAACAGTAAATAAGCAGTTAATCTTTATTTGTAAGTTCGAATGCACTCAATATATTTGGAAACATTTTAGGAACGAAAAAGTATTTATTTATGTTCATCTTTCAGCCGTTTTATTATTTTTTTTTAGTTATCTTCACTTGTTCATAATACTCAAATCGCCTTTCTTGAACGGTTCTTGGTTATATATTTGTATATATCGTTTACAAGTCATTCAGTATATCATCAAAATAAGAAAAGCATTGGCGGATGTTCATTTCCTGGTTTATGATTTATTAGATTTTTTTTTCATGTCGAACACATACCATTGTTATGTAAATAGTGGTTATTCATCAATAAATTACACTCATCCTTTTTTGGAAAAGGAAGAAAATGATCAATTATCCATTCGCCTTATATTGTGTACATCATATCTTGTTCCCTTTTATTATTCACATGTGAAAATTAAATTAGCTTAGTAATCTTATGCGTAATTGCTTATTAAACTTGAAATTATCATTATGCGTACAAAGTACACTGTCAAATATAGGTTTGCAATAAGCTGTTATACTCTTTTGTTCGCGTTACCATATTGTCAGTGTGAAATTATTTTGAAAAAAAAAAATGAAATATTTACTTTTTCAATAATAGGATATTAACTATAATTGGATAATATTAAAATAAAGTAAGAATAAAAATATCTTTTATACAAGTAAAATTGTTTGATTTTTTTTAAAAAAATCAAACATTTGATTAACTGAAAATGCAAACGACAAAACAAAAACAAAACAAACAAGCAAATGCCCGAACACATCTGTCTACTTAATAAGTGAATTGGTCTTCAAAGGAATTTCTGTACTGTCATAATACGTATCATAGTCTTCAACCGAAAATGAAAGAAGTTTGCATGTTCTTGTCAAGTTTGAGATACTTTGATCGATATTACATATCTACATACTCGTATAGCAGATAATAAGTCGTTCTGGACCCAAATATTATTATAAATCATATAAATTATATAAATCACTTTGATTTCAATTGATTCTGTTTCAAGAAATATTTTGTAACAATATCTAAATGATATATTCCGTTGGTTTTTATCAATATTTGAAATGTAGTTCTAAGATGTACCCAATCCATTTTATTGATATTGTTGAAATGAGTACTTAATGACTAAATGCTGAATTTAATAACAAATATGATGTCTGAAATATTCAAGATCTAATAAGATAATATATATATTGAAAATAGTCACTTATATTTGACAAGTTCAACACATATGCTTTATAAAAATGTGCAAAAATATGCTTCATATTTAAGCAGATTTCAGTGATATTTTGAATCTATGCAAGAAAATTTTCAAACAAGCGTTTAAAATTGATGCAACAAAGTAACATTTTTATTCATCATTTAAACATTTCTTGTTGACGCAATCATTTAGTATGAACGATTTTTAAACTGATGTTATCAGTTGCGGCGTGCCTGAGTGACAAGTAATTTAAGCATTGCTGACCGTGTGGGTTCAAACGCTGTCAGGGGCAAGCTGTTGTTTCCTTGAGCATGACGTTTTACATTTATTGCTTAATACTGGTTGGTTCCAGGAACGGATTCGAGAGTGTTTCAATAAGTGTAGAGCTTCCAACACAATCGAACTAAAATAAATTTGTATAAAATAAGTTATTATTGAATTCTAACCAATAATCAAAATGTCAGCCTTTCATAAATGATTACTGAATTTAATCTACTTGTGATATTTTCACTATTACACAGTCAGTTTGCACTAAATGACGAACATTAAATTTTTATATAAACTACTCAAACACTTTCGAAATAAGAGAGTGAACATAAATATCAACTGTAATAAAAACTATTTACAATGATACCTTGTTTTAACCCTTTACACCATGGATACTCTTTTTAAGCAATTTTAGTTTACATGTAAATTATCAATCTATTACAGGCACAAGGAATTCCATTTAATCATCTATGGAAATGTTTTACCAAGTACATTTATTATTTGCTTTTTAAAATGTTCTTTATATTGGATAATACTCATTAAAAGACGTTTAAATCTCTTGATAATTACAGGTGGTATATTAATAGTGGATATGACTTAACAGTGGGAAATTATGTACTTAGTTTCATTTTGCTTAGTATACTTAAGCACAAGACGTAAGCATTTATGTCGGCAAAAAGATATTGAGTGAATGGTAAGATTTATTTTTTTAACACAAATAAAGATTTTTACACTTTCCCTAAATAATCTGTATGGCGATGATAATATTATACACTATATTGACAAGTTTCCTTCTCTATAAAGAAGCATGTGACCTGTATTTTTGCAGCTATGGATGATTTGTTAAATTGTTCAAATAGCAGGAAAGTATGCATTTCTGAATGGTCGAATTCTATTTGCAAACAAAAGCAACATATATTATCAGCTATTTCCGTCAGTCTCCGGATAGGTCTTTTTATGAATAATCGGCAGTTAAAGGTGCAGGTAAATTTCGGTACACATTTCTGTCGTTTGGTGGAAAAGTAAAACGATATTCAGAGAATATTAATTAATTTGTACAATTTAAAGGGTTAAAAACGTGGTAAATGTAATGTATATGATATTTTCCGATATTTCCTTTTACCGATTTGCTCACCTCGGTATTAATATTTCGTTTTGAAGCAGAGCATGCGCATTACAATTTTAACAGACTGATTCGAATGATTTTAGGCTTTAAATGAGATTCATTAACTTCAATTTGATATGCAAAATTGGATACCACCAGGAATTATTCTCAACACTGTGAAAAGGTATTGGTTATCTGTGGTCAGTTGTTAAAAAATATACTATTATCACGTCTAAACGGTAGAATATGATAATGTTAACCGGTTGCCGCTACTGACCGGAATATCTAGCTCAAGGAGAACTGGTTCATGCTTAAGCGAACCTCCGTCGACGTTCCGAAAAACATGTCCTCAAGAATAGGATATCATATGTACACCCTTTAAGGTAAAATTCTATCTTATTTTTAATAACGATTTATAATCTATTCATATAGATAATTAAAGCATTCATTATTTTACAAAACTACTTACTAATAGAGAAGGTAAGCAATTTTCAGTTAAATCATTTTCGTTTTGTAATAGAACCATCTTAACTATTTCAATATTTTGTAGACACAACATTGGTTGTTGTAAGTAATGTAAATTGCATATAAAGCAAGTAGAAAACCAAGAATTCGAATCCAGTCGAATAATTTGAATACATCATTAAAAAAGCTTTCTAGAGTTAAGGGGTATAAACAGATTGCCGCTTGTGCAGATAATATTGTACGAGATTGATTTTTATAAAGTTCTCAAGTTGAAATACGTTAACATCAGAAACGTATTTCATTTTAAACTAACATCAGTAATATGTTGACATGGAGAGTAAACAATGACACATACGTAATGATGCATATTTCTATCAACTTTGTTATCCACGCTTCTTTTTAGCTTTGCTTCTTAAATAAGTTGGATTTTCTTAGTTTCTTTTGAAGTACTCAGATGTATTTAACGCTTTACTTTACAGATGCTGCAATTAATATGTACTGCTCTATTGCTGAATTCAGTAATCTTCGGTAAGACAATTTTCATGCGTTATAAGCATTATTTACCTTTTTCTTTTCTAGTCAATCAAAAAAAAATTCAATCTTATGTTAAAAATAGTTATCACTGAAAAGCCATATATTAAGATGATTTATACGGAATGTATATTTTTCTTTTGAAAAGAAAACCATTAACGGTCATTTTGTTTGTTCTTATTCAAAAAATCAAAGTCAAGGTAAAAACTGCATCGATTTATTCAAATCCTATTCTTTTATCAATCCGTATCAAATCGGTTCCCCCAATCTTACTATTTTTACTCTTTAAAAAGGATTCCGTTTTTAATTCTATTGAAAAAAAACGGGACTGTCACAAAAGTTCCCGTAAAGCATTTTACCATTTTCATAAAATTTGTAAGCAATTTCAAAAGTATTAACTTTTGATGCATTTTTAGAAGTACTTAAATATTTGATGTAAAATAACTTTTGGTTTCAGGGTCATCGATCTGTCCAGTAGGTTGCAAATGTAAAGCGTATGGGTATTGTTATGACTGTGAAACGGGATACTACATGAGTGGCACATGTAAGAGATGCCCTGAAAATTGTCAGTCTTGTTCCTCAGTAAACAAATGTGAAATATGTGACGTTGGATATTATATAGACTCCCCATTCTCATGTATTCCATGCTCCATTGGCTGTACACAATGTTTATCGGTTAAAGAATGTTTACAATGCAAAACTGGGTATTTCAAAAGCGTTGATGGATGCACTAAATGTACGTCGGCATGTAAAACGTGTACATCCGAATATAATTGCATTACATGTAATAATGGATTTACATTAAATGGTACCTCTTGCAAAAAATGTCCGAAAGGTTATTTTGTATCTAGTAATGACTGTGTCCCGTGCCTAAAAAATTGCGCCTCTTGTTCGATAATAAATGAATGTTCAGAATGTAAACAAGGATTTTTTGGAGAAACAACATGTGATCAAAGTTGTTCCTCGGGATGTAAAGACAATACATGTGAAATAAACACTGGTAAATGTGACTGCAAAGAGAATTATGTTGGGGAAAATTGCGATCTTTGTAAACCTTCGAAATATGGACAATACTGCCACCTTGACTGTCCAAAAGGATGTTTAACGTGCAATTCAGATAGAGGTTGTAGCTTGTGCAATACTGGTTACTTCGGGATAAAATGCAACTGTTCAGATGGTTGTCTTGGCAGCACATGTGACAGATTAACAGGACAATGCTTTCAATGTAAACCGTTTTTTAAATGGCCTTGTATGGAGTGTGAAGACGGCAAATGGGGAAATAACTGTGAAAGAGATTGTCCTGATAAATGCCTCTCATGTATTTCTGAATCTAACTGCTCAAAATGTAAGGATGGAAGCTATTTCTCAGATGGGAAATGTTTGAAATGTTCCATCAATTGTCGAAATATATCTTGTAATGCAAGGAATGGTGTTTGTAACTTTGGATGCAAACATGCTTATTGGGGAAAGTTTTGTGAGGAGGAATGCCACAAGTCTTGCTCAAATCGCACATGTAATATCGATAATGGAGTTTGTAGTCAGAGTTCCAATGATAGTTACCATGAAAATGACCAATTGTACGACAAGAATTGTAGCAGTACATGCATTGATCGACAATGCGATTCGATAACGGGAAGATGTAATTTAGGATGCAATCATGGATACTATGGGGACACATGCAAGAAACAGTGCAGCAGTAATTGTCATAACTTAACATGCAATAGAGAAACAGGCTTATGCCCTATTGGTAGAGTTTTATGATAAATATTCTAATAAATTTAGTATATTGAATTACATATATTTAGGAAAGGAAACTACTTAATTTGAAAAAATACTTTAAATTAGACATATACCTCAATTTAATCGATATAATTGTTGTTTGTTTATTCCTTTTGAGGTATCTAATCGATAATCTAAGTTAACACTTTAATATTGAATAAGAAAGTACACGTTTATATATATTGATTGATCGTGTTTATTTAACAGATCAAGTGGACGTAATGTCTTCAACCTTACATCAGCGATTTGGTTCAGTTCTTTTCACTGTATCGCTTGTGTGTCTGATCATTGCTATTTTCATAACAGTCATATCAACTGTACAAAGGTAAATGTATTTATCATAAAATACCAAAGTGTTAACAAGAAATCTTCTGTAACTTGTGAAATGAATTACCATTATTGTAAAATTGCACATGCAATACGTACTTTTTTGTTGTAAATGTAAAAAATTTCTTCATTTCTATCAAACAACAAATATGTATTTGTTTCTTCGTTTTGTTGGATTTTAAGTCAAACCTTCACGGTAAAGGTCTGACTTGATTATTCAGTTTAGCTGGTGGAACAATTCCTCAGATGACCATTCACGTACTTTTTTCTGACACGAGTATGTGTGTAATTGAGTAGGGACATCGCCCTTTTATAACCTAGCTGGTAGGGACTGCACAACTTCTGACAAGATTCGAACAAATAGCGGTGAAGGGCAAGTGTACATTAACGACCTCAATCAAACCGGGCCTGCAACATTTTCAATACTGTCGCTTTTTACGTTCTTATTGGATTCCTTATTCTCTCTGTATTGAGTATTTAACAATTGTACTTCATAATATTTTCATAGTCTAGACGTGACTAAATCTTTTATTCATATTTGGTGTAAAGTAATCTGATGGACAAAATCAAGATTTGTCTTTATTCCCTCTTACATTAACTGGACAATGTATGAACCTTTATATTTTTGACATAATGTAGGCTTTTACTAGAATGTTTTTGTGTTAATATTATATTTGTATTTCTGTTGAAATAGTAGTGGGATCTGCATTTGTTTTGTTAACTTCGACATTTTCAGTTTTAAAAATAAACCAAACCGTCGTGCAGTAGAAGGTTTAGGGAATTCAGTTACTTATACAGGAGTCAGAAATTCTGTAGAAATACTGTCTTGTAAAGGTACAGTAACGATTTGTTATTCTGCGTATTGTTTTATTTATTCGCTTTAATTTGTGTTTTGATTTTTTGAAAAGTTTTGTTGTAGGTATTAAATAGTTTGTTAGACAAAATGTATTGGTGCGTTCTCGTATGTTGAAGTTATATTTGGATAAAACGTCAAGTGATTTCACTTACATTCCGAGTACAATATTACTCAACTTTATGAAAATGTGACACTGCATAAATAAGTATGATGTTATGTGTCAGTTAGTACAACCTTCTGCCCTTTCATTTTTTCATTGTGTTTATTTTTACAATATAGATATTTACAGTTGTGTGTCATATATGCATGTTTAAGTATGATTTTCTCAGCAAAGAAATTAAATTTGACATAGACAGGGAAAATGATAGGAAAGCAAAATTGTGTTTTACGGAAATTTATTTTCTTTTGAAATAATTATGATTCAAAGCCTGTTAGGATCATTTAGAAATTTTCAATAGGGTCATGTAAAAGATTTGATTTTAAACAATAGTTTAGAAAAATTATATTATAATAAGACTAAGAGGAATTTTATCTTATTACATTAAAAAAGAAATATGACAAAAAATGAAAATGCGCAATAAGAAATTGAAATTCAAATGTATAAATTGACTAATCACCTAATCACCAGATGCATCTCTATATAGTAGAGAAGAAATTTATAAGTAGTTGACAAAACATGATTATATATAAACTAAGTAATAAAAGGGAACACACAAAGAGTATCACATTGATTTGTTCCTTTTTAAATACTTTATGTCCTATATGTGATATAAATACTGTTCAGCTGTTGAAATAGTACAAGTAAAATTCCACCCATTTCACCTATATGTTTTATTGCATGGCTTATTTCTATTTTTTATTTTAAATTATATTTTCCTATTTTTTGCTAAAGATTTTAAAGTCATTCTCATTAAGGAAAAAAGTAAAATTTTCTCCCATTTCCTGAAAATTTATCTAATAATAATTTTGCCTTTTAGACGATATGAGAAAACTGCAAAGTGTAGAACGAGTTGAACATATTAATCCAGCTGCCATAGTCGGAAGTGTTGAACCAACTGAACAGGAAAATATAAATATATTTTATGTAAACGTAAA